TCAAAATGTAGATTCAGGACCCTAAATGTTTATAGATATATAGCAATAATATTTAGTTATGTTTTAATTTATTGATACCACTTGCCGTACTAAATGTGAAAATGAATAAAAAACTATCAACGAAAAAAATATATACAAACAAAATCTAAATTCAAAATTAGGCAAGTCATTTTTATTCGTAAATTTTTGCGTAGATGATTTGAATAATAACAAATTAAAGTAAGAAGGGTATAGTTGCATTTGTATTAAAAAAAGCTACTTAACTATTACAGATATCTTAAACAAATCATTTAACCATTTCATACTTCCATGATGAGACATAGTAACAGTTCATTTGGACTATAATTGAAAGATGTCTCAAGTTTGGGTTATCTTATTTGCCCCCTGCTATGGTTTTACTAAGAATATTTTCTGTTTTTCTTGACACACACATATAGTCCCTATTGTGGGCAGTTGGTCCGAGGACACACACATATAGTCCCTATTGTGGGCAGTTGGTCCGAGGACACACACATATAGTCCCTATTGTGGGCAGTTGGTCCGAGGACACACACATATAGTCCCTATTGTGGGCAGTTGGTCCGAGGACACACACATATAATCCCTATTGTGGGCAGTTGGTCCGAGGACACACACATATAGTCCCTATTGTGGTCAGTTGGTCCGAAGATACACACATATAGTCCCTATTGTGGGCAGTAGGTCCGAGGACACACACATATTGTCCCTATTGTGGGCAGTTGGTCCGAGGACACACACATATAGTCCCTATTGTGGGCAGTTGGTCCGAGGATATAGTCCCTATTGTGGACAGTTGGTCCGTGGACACACACATATAGTCCTTATTGTGATAGTCCCTATTGTAGGCAGCATATTACTTCCAAAATTTTGTTTACATACTTTCCTTTTGATTCCTTTATATTTTATGCAGGATATATAAAGTAGGCGGATTAAATTATATGTTTTTAAATGACTTTGGGTGATTAATATTTAGGTATAGTGGTGATTTGTTTTAGTTTTATAAGGTCAATATTTAGTATGTCTAGAGCTTCTTGAGATAGAGCAGGAGCGATTTTTAAAATTTTAATTCATTATCTAATAGAAATGCACAACGAAAAAATAACTGTGTTCCCAGGCAAATTAACTACAGTTTTTATTAGAATTCTTCGACTGCACTACCTACTCCCGTAATTATGATCACAATTCAAAGCTTTGACTTTCGGCCTCTTTTACTTATTTACTTTTAAACTTTATATCATGATTTTAAGAAACGGTAAAATAACAAAACCCTCTCCACACTTCGAATATCCACGTGACAAAATGACAAACTTGCTCCAGATTATCTTCGGATAATACTGTTCGTTCATCAGTGAACGGAAGAACATTTTCTCTTTCCTTTTCATATGACATTACTTGAAAACCCCAAAGCGTCATATATCTTGTAACAAGAACAAAACCGAAATGTAGTATTCAATATGTAGGGCAAACTGGACGTGAATTTTTCAAACGAACACAAGAACAACTATACCGCTTCCGCAGACCTAAAAAATTCAAAAGTTTGATTTACCAACATTTAGAAAATCACGAACACAATATTAGATATATTAAATTCCAACCACTTCAAACCGTCTAGAAACAACCAGGAAAATCACATAAAGAGTTTGAAGATTCCCGTAAACTTTGCGAACTGTCTTGGATTAAACGACTACAGACAGCGTATCCCCTGGTCTAAATAACAATATAATGGTCCAAGGAAACATATCTAAAACTTCCTCTATTGATATCATGACTATTGAAAAGACAACGCAATCATAGGTATCATGGCAAACGCATTAACCGCAATTAACGGAATAAACATCGTTCTAATCTTAAACTTGATGATTTTTTATCTATATTTAAAAACAATGGTAGACATCAATTATTATGTAAACTGGGTCAAATACCAATTAGTAAATTACATAATATTTATAACGAGTGTGATACAGTATCGTTAAATATGAGTGTACACGAATTATTACAGCTTTTTGTCACCATTGACTGTTCCCTCAAATTGACAAACCTGACGATCATAAAAAGTATTTCATAAAAATAAAATACATTAATAGAGGTATTGATTTTATTAATTTGTCTAGTATTTTTTCATGACTCTACCGTTCAAAACTTTATACCTCCATAGTTTGATAACAAAGAGCCACCTGTAATTTCTTTTTCGTATAAAAAACCCAGTAGAAGTATTAGTTTAATTTTTTATCAGACGTCAGTTACATCAGACGTCAGTATAGAAAATAATGCTCCTTCGACATGAGACTGAAACATCAAAGTTTAGATATGATCACTATGGCCATGTAATTACAGGGGACCTCAATATCGTCCAAGACCGAGAGGTTATAAACTTTTTGAAAAAAGGACCAAAATATCGTCCACCGTCGAAAATAAATTGGGAAGAGTGTCGTCAGGTTATTAAAGATGCTCTTTCGTCATATTGTAAAAAATGGTGTAAACGGGAGAAATCTGACAATAAGTCACTTGATTTCTATTTGAATAAATGTCTCAATATTGTTGATAATCGTATATCACTTTTCGAAAATAATTTAGAAATAAATAAAAGAATAAGTAATACGCCCATTTCTAGGATTAAAAACAAAATTCAAGTACTCGCAAAGCGTTTTGTGTTCGTACTGACCGACAAAGCAGCCAACAATGTGGTGGTGACAACATTTATGTATGTTTCGGCAATAAAGTTTATCGACAGATAGTAGGTATTCCTATGGGCACCAGTTGTGTCCCTTTAATAGCAGACTTGTTCCTGTACTGTTATGAATCACAGTTTATGGTCAAACTCAGTAAAGACCCGTCTAAATTCAATTTAATTGATAAATTCAACAACACTTACCGTTATCTTGATGATATTTTTTCGTTAAACAATCAAGAATTCTCTAAATATACTGCCGAAATTTACCCATAGCAACTTACTTTAAATAAATCAAATATTAACAGCAATAAGTTTCCTTTCCTAGATTTAGATATTTCAGTTTTACACCAGAAACTCTACACAAAAATTTACTACAAAAGAAATGATTTTTCTTTCACTATTGTTAATTTTCCTTTTTTGGACGGCGATGTTCCTCTGACATCATCTTACGGTGTTTATATATCCCAACTCGTTCATTATGCCCGTGTCTGTAGTGACGTTTTGGATTTCAATGAGCATAATCTATGTATTACTGGTAAATTATTAAGTCAGGGATTTTGTTACCACAAATTACTTAAAACCTTTACTAAATTCTTCCACAGATACAAAGATTTGGTTTGCGAGTTTGGCTGTACCTTAAAACACTTATTTCAGACGGAATAGCACATCCTAAATGTTACGGTGATTTTGTTTACCGAGCCCGGAAATTTATATACGATCCGGGTAAACTCACCAATCCTTTAGATAAACTTATTCTAAAAGGTTACCATTCAACACTGTAATTAGATGTTTGAATATTGTTTTTATTGGTATAAATATTGATTTTGTTATCAGTAAATTAAAATCATGCTAATAGATTTGTTATACACATATGCGCTTTAACGGTACTACAATCTGTCGATCGTTTGGCATTTTGGCATTACACAAGGTCATGTTTTTCTCTGACTTAATGACGTCTTTACGGCACTAAATCTATTGGATGTTTGACGTGTATTGATTGATATTTTAGTCTTAGATACATTATTTTTTTATTAGTTGTTATTGGCTTTGAAATAGCTGTCAGTAACTGCGAGTACTCTCAGATCTGTACTTAGTGTCCTTTTTCTTATTAGGGATGAGGGATGGATAAAGCCCTGCCACGTCCGTTCTGTGTTTATGTTTGATGTTTTTTCTGCTTTGTATCGATCTGATGAGTAAAGCCTTTTTCAACTGATTTTTATAGTTTGTTCTTATGTTGTGCTGTTACACCACTGTCCCAGGTTAGGGGGAGGGTTGAGCGCTCGCAAACATGTTTAACCCCGCTACATTATTTATGTGGATGTCCCAAGTCAGGAGCCTGTAGTTCTGTGGTTGTCGTTGGTTCTTGTCTGTTATATTTGTTTTTCGTTAATTGTTTTGTTATAGATTAGGCCGTTAGTTTTCTCAATTGAATTGTTTCATATTTTTCATGTCGGGGCCTTTTAAAGCCGCCTATACGGTATGGGGTTTTCTTATTGTTGAAGGCCGTACGGTTGCCTATAATTGCTTACATCCACTTTATTTGAACTTTGGTGGATAGTTGTCTCACTGGCAATCATACCTCATCTCCTTATTTTTATATCATTGGCAATAATACCACATCTTCTTATTTTTAATACGCGTTTACATAAAAGTGTAAATTAGTTTTTCATCTATGTCGTAGGGTATCTCATTGTAAACAATGAGTCGATACTGCTGCTGGTTGAGTATTTTCGACTTTTGAGTTTGAATTTCCCTTTGGTATCTTTCGCCTCTCTTTAAGTTCCCGAATGTATCATCAGCTCAGTAGTCAATGCTTCGGTACCTACATGATTTATAACATATACTTATTTAAAATTCATACGTTCATGAATTAAAAAATATTTAAAACTATGGTTCAAACCCCCGCATGTAAAGTTGAACTTTAATTGGCTATTTTGTTTAGGTCCAATTTGGTCATATAGCTCCTAACGATGCAGCGTATTTCAGCAGTCATGGCTTTTAAAAGTTTTGGTTTGCGTATTCCCGATGAAGAATAATCCGGGAAAGCTCTTCGGAGGCACGAACTTTATGAAAGTATTTATTTCATTTACACGAATAAATAATTGCATTTATTATTCTTAATTTTCTTCCTAACATGAAAAACTAGAGTGATAATAATGTCAAAATATAGTCCACATTGATTAGCCTTTGAAAAAAGGATTATAGAATTAATACAAACGAACCTAATGAAGGGTCATGTTTTAACAGAGGTTTAAAGAAGTAATCTCTAATCTTCTTAAGCTGACTGGAGGTGTATGACAAACAATAACAAACACATTTTTTCATCAAGAAAACGCAAAACATTTATATATACCAGTACGTAGAGGTTATAATTAATGATTACCCGGGACACGGAAATTATCTGAACATTAAGGTAGGAACTTAACAAGATAGTACGGCCTATTTTTGTGTTTCGAATTGTTATTGAATAAATTGTATGCACTGGTTACAGTAAGGCTAAATATATGTGAAAATAAATCTGAATTAGTAGTACACATGTTTTGGTTATATATTTAAAGTTTTTACACACAGCATGACACATTTGTAATTTTTGACTGGCGTTAATATAAAGAACAATTTATTTTTTGAAACTTTTGTTAGTAAAACTAATGGATAAAAAAAGTTAATCCTTTGTGAATAGGAATTGTCTAGATTAGTTACTACACAAGTTTAACTTTTCTACAAAGGTACAAAGTGCTTATCATTAATTACGTCAACGTGAAGCAATAATATGGTATTATTACGTGAGTATTTCTGTATTGGCCTTGTTATTGGTCCGAGGCTTGCTGTATTGGCCTGAGGCGAAAGCCGAAGGCCAATACAGCTGGCCAAGGACCAATAACAAGGCCAATACAGAAATACACGTAATGATACCTTTATTAATTAACTACAGTGTTAACATTGTTTTATATACCACAAGAGATATACATTTTTTACCTTGAAGTGGAACTATCCAAATCTGAGTTCCCATTTATCATGTTTATAAGCTGCAATATCAAATGATCTGGTGCTGTTTCCAGGCGTCTTCTACATTTTCTCATCTGATGAATTTTTCTACCCTTACCAGTCACTATAAAGTGTTACAGTTCAGATTTAGACGCAACACATAAATAGTAATTGGAAAGGTACTGCCATTGCATGTGTAATGCAGAAAAAAATTATTTAAAAAAAAATGTAGGAGTTGAATATGATTGAAAATTATACAACTTTCCATAAGGCAACTGACCCAAGATTTGTCACCCTTCCACAATGCATATGCCTGGTTCGGGTTGAAAAATAAATGACAGTTTACAAAACATGAGAAGCGAAAGTAAACAGTAAAATTATCGGTTGTACCTGAGGTCGACAAGAAATGAACTTTGTGATAAACTACTCGTTGCCCAAACCTGAAATAATTCAATTGCCTGCTTACAAAATGCTTTTCAAATGAATGTGACCGTCTTCAGCCTGAAATATATGCCACACTGAACGTTTCGGCATGTTTATGGTGAGTAAATGAAAACTGCGTCTTCCTAACGACTGTTTACTTTAAGTTTGTGTTTATCATGACTTTCGATCTAAAAACTAGAGACGTTCCGAAATCCTGTATTGGCCGGATCAGAACTCGGCCAATACAGAAAAAAATCAATATTGGCCGAGTTATTCTGTATTGGCCGAGTTGACACTTTTATATTGCATAGGCAGTTTTCATCATATTAAGTCTAATAACAGAGTAGTTAATTAATAATTGTTTATATGGTCTTGAATACCCATATTGTTATCTTATTCCTTATCTTCCGTATTGTATATGTTCTCCTGTCCAGGGCATGTTACACATTATATATCCGGTTCTAGCCAATAGAACCTTAGCAACATCATAAATCAATCAATTAGAACTGAGAAAATATCATAATAACCAAATTATTGCTAAAATGCCGATTTTTAACTAAAATCGAAACAGTGCCATTAACAGCCAACAGAGCATTATAACGGGACCATTATTTACGAAACCAGCATTTATGAAATAAATTGTTAACTAACATTGAATATTAAAGCACCTTTTATATCAATTGAAGTGAAATTCAAATATTAACATTAAAATATATTTGCAATAGATCTGTTAATTTTCTGTGACCGATGATTTTTTATTCAAGTAGTCGAAAACCCTGAAAACAATCAGCCATCTTGAATTTTATGTCTTTTCGTAATGACTGTTTTCGCCCATAATGGTCTCGTAATTAATTTACCTGAGTAATGCTGCAGATAATAGCCCAATATTATTTTAGCATTCGAACCCGGAAAAAAACTTGGAAAGGAACCCCAACGAGTAAGTGATGACAGAATATGTCTGCATTTAAACAAAATATTTGGTTTAAAACGGAGACCATATAATTCCATCACAAAACTGTAAAATACGTAATGTATAAAAGGCAATTTCACTAAGGTCAAACAAAGATTGCATAAATATTCAACAGTATCTAGTGGATACATTTTCTTTATACCACCTAAAGCAACAGTATTTAACATTTTATTATAATGCTATTAAAAATTTGGAACTTGAGTTAAAGTAAAATATTGAATCTTTTAATTTAAATCTGACGTCATAGATTTTTTGTCAGAAAAGGAAAGCAACGATTCATCCCCTCAGCTATGTATTGGTGAGTTTTGCTAGCTTCTTAGCCTGGGATCCTGGCTCACTGCTCGACAGTCGACGAAGTATTAGAGTGGGTCAGGATGCCAGGCTAGTAGCTTCTATGGGCCATTCGGATATCTTTGGAAACAAGTTTCTCGGAACCTCTCGGTAATTTTCGATCATTTATACAGGTAGTTTTCTATGTCTTTGATACGGTCCCTCTATGGATAGGCTACCACGTGACATTATATATGTCAAACGCAGTTCATTTGTAGATCGGAAAATAAAAATATAAAGACTAGATTGCAGTCAAAAAATCATTTATATTTTAGAACCTATTTGCCTTTTGACAAAACATATGTGTTTTTAATAATGCCCATATTAAATATTATCAAATATCAAGTATAATGATAACGCAATTATATTATTCATGTTTTGAGACGGCCCCTGTAGGCGTTGTATGTGTAGACCATATGAGTATTTAGACCATATAGGTATTTTACAAATAAATTTTTAACTTCCTTCCCAGGAGAACACAGCTCATTCTCCGAACCGAAACTGGCACGAGTTTCTAACTGATTCCTTTATCTTTACATATTGTCTGAATTTTGGTGTATCTATTATCTTGCTTTCGCTAGAATGAATTTAGAGCGTTTTATCTTGTAGACTTTTGCGTCCCTAAGTGAAACCATATGCGTTTTTGGCATGGACCTTTTTCTTTTTTGTTAATGTTTTTATTATTATGTCAGAAACAAAATTCCTTCTAATCTCAACTTATTTTCATTTAATTGTTGTGTTCTTTCTCCTTTTCATACTATTTTCTGTTATTGTAAGATCGTGTAAATAGGATCAAGAACACATTAACTAAAAACATCTGTTATTGTAAGATCGTGTAAATAGGATCAAGAACACATTAGATAACAAAAAATAATTTGAAATATTTAAGAAATTTTAATTCAATAAAAACACCAAAATAAATTAAAAAGAAAGAAAGAAAGAAAGAGGGTTCAATGAAAAAAAAATTCCTGTGAGTTAAGCAATGGACTTTTTGTTTAACAACTCATTTAGATATTTCTTGAAGTTATTTTTATAAGTCGACATGTTGCGTTTCGTACAAATGTAAGAACAAATCAATAATGACCACGTAAAATGATTTCACTATAATTCTTACTAATTCACTAAGTAAAATTCACTTTATTTCATTAATCATGTAACAATGATTACAATATGATTGAATAAGTAAAAAAAAAATTTTAGAAACTTTTAATTTATGGGACACCTTTTCAATGTTCTTTAAAAGGGTTCCAATAACCGGACCATACGTGCACGGTCGGAATGCTCATATGGTTCGGAACATATTTACTGATATTCACTTATTGTATGTTTATTTAATCTCATTTATGAGGAATTAAAAATATGAATGAATGAATGAACGGTCGAATAGATTTGAACAGTGAATATATTCATGAAAACTATATGCAACATATGAGCACCAATGAGCAGAGATGGGTACACATAAGTTAGTATCTAAATTTTAAACGGTAGTGAATGAAAAAAAATACTTCCATAGTTTCAATTCACAAGTAATCTAAATCCTTGTTTCTCACAAAAAACGTAATTAATATTTTACAATAATCATAAGAAAAATTAATTACTACGTTAATTACTTTATACTGTTTTAGTATGGTTTCATAAGTCTTATATTTTGTATATCAATATATTCATATAATGGAAAGCTAGACTTTAAGAAGAGATTGATTTGATAGATAAAATGTCCATCAGAAAATACATGACGTTTGTGTTTATTGATATCATATTTCAAATTTTCGGAAAAGATTCATTATCAGGAATATATGTTAATTAAATTTCAATTCTTTTTTTGTTGTTAATAGTTCAACCTTATAGATCTAAATCTTTGCATTATGGTACGATTTTGAAAGCTGTATTCATTGTGTTGAACAGCTATCCTACACACGTGTTAGTTCATTTACATCATAATTATACAACCCTTTGCGTTCACACAAATTCCGAATTAAATGGCAATGAATCCGGAGTCAAAACACTTGAGGAAGGTAGTTTGACATACGAATTCAACTATTACACATTAGATTTGAGCCTAGATTAATATATGTGATGACGCAAATGGGTATTCTTATCTAGAGTATCAGTGCCTATGTTTTCCATTTACTATTTCTTGAGCAAGAAAACCACGTGCATGCATAAATATTAATTTCACTTGCGAATGTGAACTTTCGCAAATCTTTCTAAATCCAGGACACGTCAGTAAGAGATTTATATGTGACTTTCAAGCATGGTCATCATTACTTAATGTTTTCTGACCTCTAGCTGTTTCTCTTTTCTTTTTCCCTTTTGAGTGACTGTCCTATTGTAAACTTTGAATTTTCGAAATGCTAAGGATTTTCTACCCCAGGAATAGATTACCTTAGATGTATTCGAAATTTTGGGTCCGCTTTGTCTTACAACTTCGTACTTTATTTGGCCTTTTTAACTTTTTTTATTCGAGCGTCACTGATGAGTCTTTTGCAGACTAAACTCCCGTCTGGGGTACAACATTTAAATGCTGGTATCTTTATATATCTACATATCTTTTTATATAAAGTGGTTCTTTTGAGAGTATGTTCAGGTATTCATAAAACGTATGAAAATAAGATATTCTTCAAAACCAAGTTTTCCTGTGGAATATTTGGATTGATTTAAGTAACTTTAGGAAATCCTTTAGATTTGAGATTTTTTATGAGACCAACATAACTGGCAGTATATAAGAGGTCCCAAATGAAGCCTCTGTGTTACTCTCAAGAAAAATATACGAAACCTTCTTATAAGTTGCATAGCACAGGGTTTCACTTCACATGGAAATTGGACTTTAAATTTATCTAAACAACATCTTACCTTGAGTACAAACCATGAGTATAGACAGTTTCAATAACAAGTATAAGAATAATTGAATGCATCCAGGAAACAAAATAAGAAGATATGAAAGATTAAATAAATGCATCCAGATAATAAAGCAAACCGAGTGCTTAGATTTATATTGCGATTGGTTTGTGCAATTTGCATTAGACATCCGGTTTGCAGAAACTGGGATTTACAAAAGGATTAAGAAAAAATATGTACACTACCAAGTAATAAATAAAATAATCAAGCCTTAAAAGGTAAATTCAAATAGTAGCTGTATATATACACTTTTCTATTCACAACTAAAATCCAACATTGCGTTCAATTGAGTTGTGCAAGAATCTTTTTTTTTAAAAGAAAGCAACGTGTTTTTTTTTTTTTTTTTTTTTTTTTTATCTTATTGAATAGTTGAATGGTCTAAACAATGTCAATTATTTTTAACATAATTAGTATAAAACCTGCTGAAGTCTTGGTTTTATAATATTTCTAAGGATTGTAACACAATGATGGTTCCCATTTGATAAGCATTTAGGCTCTCCTGGGTAATTCATGTACTTGATATCATTTAGTTTAATATGTATACCGTAATATATGATATGTGCCTCCCTCTTGCTTCCGTATAATTTTTGTATGTCTGTACATATACATTATGTAATATTTATTGTGTGTATCTCTATACCAATGTAATTTGGTTTGTTGAGAAATAAAGATATATAAGATAAGCCGTAAGGCTTTTATGGGCAATCCAGATTAAGTATGAACACTTGTTGTAAGATTTTACGATTTTAGTATGTTTCCATCATGTTTGCTATTACTTTGTATTATTGCAAATGAAATGTTGTGTTGATATTTTATCTAATAGGTTTGTCTATTTATTAAGTTTTAATTTAGTCAATATAATCAATGACTATCGTTCTGTATCGGCCATTCAAATGATATTATCAATTTTAGTAAATGTTGCACAGGTTTTCTCAAACCCCAACAGTTCATCAATATTACACACCGTATCAACCATCAACCAACCTAATCCATCAGCAGAACTCTCGGGTTGATAATTGTGTCTCGAGTCGATACGCATGTGATGTTGAAAAAAGCAATATAACATTCCTTGTTTATTAGAAATTCCAGTTCGTAACCCGAAGGGTTTATGGCATGAGATATTGATTGCTGCAGTTTCAAAATGGCGTTTCAGTTGACTTGACTGAATTATCCTAGATCCACTTCTATTTGAGCGTAACTGTACAGACGTACCATGGGAAGAGGGGGGGGGGGGGGGGGGGGATATATATCTTCCAATACTTTTGGTTTATCCTTTCATATAGTATTTCAAAATCATAATGACATAAGCACATTTTTTATGATTCGATACCAGTAATAGCGATCTCGGGTTCATCAACCTCATTTACAAAAAAATCCTGTAGTATGAAATAAAGTGTATATGGTAAGCCCTTACAGAGCTCTGGGGATTATATTGGTTGATATGAGTATAATATTGAAAAAAAGTCATATAATATTGTCCATTTATTTTTCAGGGGCAACCAGATATGGGAACAACCGAAGCCAAACCAGTTTGCCAACATTCTTGTAGCAGTGCAGTGACCGTGTACACAGATGTTGACCAGGATGATTGGTTACGTAATGATACAACTGTGGAAAAACAAGTCTTGACAAACACAAATAACAACAAATCAAATACTCATCAACAAGTTAGCTCTTCCAAACACAATGAACAATGTCTTATTTTTAGTGATAAACAAGTCAACAGAACAACCAAAACAATATCACCAACCACCAGGAATATTACAAACGTTGTGGAATTAGAGGAATATGATTGAGTTAAAACTCGTAATCTTACAAAACAAGAATTATATCTAAAAAAAAAACGCAATTAAAAACAAAGATATAAGGATGGCTGTGTTGTGTAAACAGGATTTAATATATGTGATAAGTGGAATTGTACCATGTGCTATCATTGATACCAAATTATGAAATGAGGGGGAAATACTTAAACAATATATGAAATATAAATGTTATACTTAAGCTAACTTGTTTGTACTTGATTTTCGTTAAATATCTACAACATCACGATAAAATGTAGGATGAGAAATACCGTCTAATATTAATTATTTACGAGAAACATTATATTTTATACATTTATGTAATTTTAAAAGGGGTAAAATTTAAAAATGTTACTTTGCGACTTTGCTACCTCGCGATTTTATTAAATGAAAGTGTGAGTTAAAGGATTTGTAGCGTATATATCATGAAATTACAATGTACCATTAACCCGAGACTTTAACTTACTTTACTCTGCAAATTTCTCTGCTTCTGCAGTATTAAGAAACAGTTCTATTATTTGGAGTACGAAATTATACGGTTGAATTGCCAGTTTTTGTGTATATTTATAATTAATATTATATTGATCTTTTCCATTGAGCCATCGCTGAAATTGAAAAAAATAAGACTTATGAGATTCCTTACCTTACTCCAAAGAAAAAAAGATCGAAACCAGATAAGATTAATTTCTGGTTTTAACGTAGTTCCAGGATAAAATACATAATTTAATAAAAAAAAAAAAAGATTTCAGAAAAGAATTAAAGATTTGATAAGGCTAAATCATGAATAAATCTTTGTATTCTATGTTGTATCGAAGAAAATATTGTGCATATTATTTATTAGTATCTTCTTTTATTAGAAAAGCTTAAAATACATACATTTACATTTCTTAATGAATACTTAAGAATAACTATTTAATTTAAAGTGTCTCATAAGTAAGTTTTAGCTGGATACCAATATTTTAACCTTGATGAAAATTTATTTTTTATTTGTATTCTTATGTATTAACATTAACATTAACGGTAAGAATTTTACTGTTCCAGATGTAGATATATGATGGATGCAATTTGTAACAGGCATTTGCCTTTTTAAGACATCGTGTCAGGGCCATTTTGTTGATCCAATATATTACCTGATATAGAATGTACACGTTTTTCAATGCTATGTCATTATTTAGTTGTTTCAAGATCGAGTAAAAACATGTTTTTGCTTGATTTCACATTGAAACTTATTTAAATTCGATTTAGCATTTATCAAACGCATTATCTAATGGATTGTGATTTTAAATCAATTCCCTTTAAACTGTCCCAATAACAGTTATATCGTTTCCAGGTGCAGTCATACAGTAAATGTTGCCTTTGTCTTCAACAGTCTCTTTTCTATCCATGATTTTCAACCAAATATCGGCCCTATTCCCAATTCAAAACAGGCGGGCTTTGCCTAAATTGTAATCCAATGTTCCCATTGATATCATAAATACCCAAAACCTCTAAAATATAGTCTATCAAATCACATTAAAGCGTTATTGCAATAAAATATCTTGTGTGTTTAGAATTTTTACTATTTACGAATATGTGAAATTTGTAACTTGACAGCATATACTAAATTACGAATAAAATAAATTTACTGTTTCTTGAAATGGCTACTGGTTCAGTGAAATCAAAGAAAAGATACGTTGTTTTTTTTCAGATCCAAGCCCGTATAAACTGATCCATGTGATAGTAAATGCATGTTTTACTAAATCGTGCAGTGTACTATTTTGACATCTCGCGGCATAAGAGCAAATTTACATTACTAGTACATAAATAAATCAAGTAAGAAAGATAGTGCAAAAGAACCAGCCATTGTATTTATAAAAAGTGTTTAATCCTTACTTATTATCTGTACAATGAAACTGCTACGCAACGACCAGTCCTAGTAGAAACTTCTGAATACGAGAATCCAATTAAACTTAAGAGCTCATTTGGTAACAAAATATCATTGATGTATATTTGGCTTGCAAGTCAACAATTCAACATAATTTGACATAATTTGAATATGTATTCATGCAACATTCAATTTGACACTTAGCGGAGATATGTTGCGCATGTGTTCAGCATGTGTTACGTTCATTCATTAGAGCTAATTCCTTAATGCTTGTAGATTAAGACTTTGGTTTGCTTGCTTGCTTTCTTTGTATAAACTTTTGCTCAAGCATTGTAATTATAATTGCCATCTGCAAACAATATAAATAGGCGCATTTAAACCTGTATACATTACACTTAAATTTGATTGGATGTTATCCCGGAAGTTAGGAACACCCAATTGCACATGTAAACATTACAGGACAAATATTATTGGGTGTTCCTAACCTCCAGCATAAAGTCCAATCAAATCTAAGTATAATGTATAGAAAAGAATGTCAACATTGAAAAGTGAAATATAGGAGTTACCAGGAATAATTATTTCGTTGAATGGCCTGGTCCATAAAAAATAATTCTTATACAAGTAAAACGATGGTTTTTATGTTATACGATAGCACGTGCTTGTGTTTATATCGGTTTGTATAACCATCGGCAGTCTTCGAAGGTCATCTCGATGGATAATTAGATGGCGTCTGGTCTAAAATACACACGAATTACGGATACATTATAATGAGTTTATGCATTGTTAATTGTTTCTTTTTTTCTTTTTGTAATTTGGATATACGTTTTAGTGTATAAGAATTTGGAACAATACATGAATTTGACAGCTAATGCCGTTTTTTTTAGTAATAATTGCAACATGGCGTGAATATCGAACGTGACTAGTGATGCAAAGCAAATACAAATTTAGTATTAATTTATTCTTTTACATTCAAAATTATCAATCAATCAAAATTAAAACTGCCTGAGCCTATTTATTAATATGAATTTTGACGCGACACTTTATAACAAGATAAAACAGTAAAGACAACATTATTCATTGATCGATTATCGAAAACCCTGTGGAATACCTCTTTTTTTCGTTATATGGATAATAGTGTTTTACTTGTTTTTGTATTTTTTGAATGCATGTTTTATACCTATGATACTTTCTTAATTGTACAATATGATATTTAAAACTTACAAATATAATTTTATCTAATTATTATTATATCAATCAGAACTGAGAAAAAAGCATCAGTGAACAGACCTATTTATAAATATGATTACTATGACTGGTGATATAGAATTATAAATAAGCATACGCAAACGAGTTGTACATAATTCAAATTCATTAACACAAAGGAATGCATGTAACAGGTATTAATAATAAATGTTTCAATTTAGATTATCAGCGCTCATCCAACAGTATGTATCTTAAAGAGAATATGACGCAATTATTAATTGTTACATGTTTCAAATTTTACGTACCATTCATACCAAAAGAATCTTAGCCATATCATACGGCCACCAATGAGGACCGATATTTGTTACGTAATAATTTCAATATGGTGTGAATATCCTATGAAACTAATAGCTTCGCAACGTGATGCGAAGCAATGAGAATTTGCAATGTTGGGTCAAGTTGTCTGACTGATAATATTCTGAGTATGTTATGAATTATTTAACAGGAACAAGGACCAGGCGTCTGACTGCATATGTACTGATCTTAATAAAACTTTAGAATAATCAATATGATTATTAATTTTCGATTTGGTTTAAGTTATACAGTGAACTTTCTCAGTCCAAGGGATAACCCCTTAATCTGAAATGGGTAGATTACCACAAATGATAGTGAACAACAGCATTCAACTTGAAACTCACCGAAATAAAAAAAATAGGGAAATGTGGTATGATTGCCAATTAGACATTTACCCAGCAGAGTCCAAATAAAGCGGATTCAAGCAAAAACATATATTATATATGAAAATAAGAAGATGTAGTATGATTGCCAATGAGATAACTCTCCACAAGAGACCAAATGACACAGATCATTTTAAGGCCTTCAACAATGCGCAAAATCCATACCTTATAGTCAGCTATAAAAGGCCGACATGACACATGGTCAAACGAAAAAAAAACCATGGCCTGATTTTTGACAAAACAATAAACGAAAAACAAATATAACAGACAGCAACAAACGACAACACCTAAATAACAACCCCTGACTTGGGACAGGCACATTTAGAATGTGGCTGGATTAAACCTTTTTGTGATCTTAATCCCCCTTACCTGGTACAGTGGATTAATAGCACTGAAAAACTGGATGGCCACAACTGTCTGCGGGATAAAAAATGAAAGCAACACTGTATAAATTCCATGCGTCGGAAACGCTTTTTTGGATTGACCTTCATCAGGAACACTCAAAGCCGAATATTTGAAAGCCAAGGATGTAAACACTGCATATGAAGTCGCACTATCTAGGGCATAATAAATAGTTGACCATGTTGGGTTCTGGATAATTTTATTATGAAGCATCAAAACGAAACCCTCGTATGAGGTACAAAGGTTATGCCTCAACGTATAACTACATCATATGCAGAACTCTGTCATAATACCTGAAATAATCGTGGAATTCCTCCAATACAAATGATACGAAATATGAAACGGCAAATAAAGACTAAAGAAAATATATGAAAAGTGTGTTCGGTTTGAACATCAATCCACAATTAACTATATACTTCAATATAATTACACCCCAGTTCTATTGTTATACTTCATAGTTTCTATTTCTGAAACAAGTGTAAATTGTATAGATCTGTTGTTACGAATAACAATGGATTTTGACCACAGGGTGTGACGAGCGGTGTTTCTGGAAACCCCTGCTTCTATATCCCGAAAACAAAGTCCATTGTTATTCATTACAATAGAAATTGATTATTTTTTAAATAGCATGAACATAAGAAATTACTAATAGTGTTCACTACAAGTTGTTTCAAGATATTAAAAAAAAAACCACATTTTAGGAAATTCCAATAGCGAAAAAAATATTAAGCATCTATTTTGAATAAAAACAAATCATTTGATTGATAGCGTTGAAAAACTAAATAAAATTGTCCGCGATTTTCGAGAAAAAAAATTTTCTGACTCCGACAAAAAACCATAACCCCCCCCCCCCCCCTCCCCATTTTTGAAGTTAAAATGGTTGTTCCATTAATACTCCTTTACTTGAAGGTAAAATTTTTGATCCAAGTCATATGTCTCTATTCTAAAGCATTAATCTTAAAAAAAAAACGGGGATTCCTACTTCCGGACCCCCCCCCCCCCCAGGATTGCCCCCAAAAAGGGAGTTCCTAAATATTCTATCTGTATTTTTGTATGTTAAGCGTGTCCGGTCGTCGGGTTTCTTAATCCAGACACACCTATCCCTCAGTATATCCGAATATGAATGTTTGTTTATTCTCGGGAAGAGGGGTGGGGCTTCTTTTTTTCTTTTTTTTTTATAAAACCGTTACATAAAAAATATATTTATGATTACCTTCATTAAACTGATAAGGTAAGTACTTTCGGTTATAATATTGCCTTTATCTTAGTCTATTCTACCAAATCCAACGTTTGACTCAAAAAGTCGTCCGTCTTATACCCGTCCATATTGACAACTGCATACAAGGAGTATGATGTATTTTTTTTTGTAATAAGATTGCACGAAACGGTCAACCTTGAACTGCTGATCCATATTAGCACTAGGATTTAACGGGAATATGCAAAACAGCAACTTTGACATTTGTAAAATCTACTCACTTGTCGAAGTTTGAACGAACATAGCCAAAGTAAGGTTACTAGTGGGGTTTCATGTAAAAAAAAAATGTTTTTCTTATAAATCATGGTTTGATTTTGTCAATAAATATGCTATCCGTTCTTTTTCATTTAATAATCATTGTTAACAAATATAGGGTATAGCATTGGGTGTAAGTTAGTTATACACCTCGGGATACGGTGTGTCTGGATAAGAAACCCCTCTGGCCTCCGGCCGTCGGGGTTTCTTATCCAGACACACCTATCCTTCGGTGTATAACTATTACATAAACCGCCAAAAGATATATGAACAATGAAACAGTAGAAAGTGTGCGGTCAAATCAAGCGTAAAAACAAAGACCATCAAAATAGACGAAGTGAGTAACAATCAGGAGGAAACTAGTCAATCGTCAAAGTCTGTGAATATAAAATACAAATGGTACAACTCATAATTAAGTACAATCCGTAATTAATCTATTTAAAAACGAAGACACAAATATGAATTAGTAATTAAATCATCTTTATTTTAAAGTAAATTCAAATAAGAAATCAAATACTAATTACAAAATTATATCAATATTATTTCAATCATGAATATTTGAATATGTATTCATGCAGCATTCAATTTGACACTTAGCGGAGATGTGTTGCGCATTTGTTCAGCATGTGGTATGTTCATTCATTAGAGCTAATTCCTTAATGCTTGTAGATTAAGACTTTGGTTTGTTTGCTTGTTTTGTTTGTATAAACTTTTGCTCAAGCATTGTAATTATAATTGCCATCTGCAAACAATATAAATAGGCGCATTTAAACCTGTATACATTACACTTAAATTTGATTGGATGTTATCCCGGAGGTTAGGAACACCCGATTGCACATTTAAACATTACAAGACAAATTTCACAGAGTTCTGCACATACTCCCTGTCATTTTCTAGCTGGAGTTTTAACAATATCTTAAATCGTCTTTGATGCTTCTGTTTGTAGATTTTCGAATAAGTTGGTTCCTGCTAATGATGTAATACACTGGATTCTCTGTAACCAAACTAGCTGAATGCGATGTGTCATACTTACCTGACCGCATCCAAGCTGTTTGTCTTCTTTCTCTGGTAGACAGTCTAATAGTCGGAGAAGATGACGACGAACTGTCTTCAGGTGGATTCTCCTGCTGTTCTATGTCACTCCAACCATCGGAAGCGCTTGTCTGTTATTCTTCTGAATCTGTCTCATCAACGGTTGCAACTGAATCACCCTGAAAAATGGCGTCCCCATCAGGTTCCGAAGCTTCTGTCTCTAGTACCTCAGTCTACTCTCCTTGCTGTGATGTTGAATCTGTAACGGATGAGTCACTGTTATCATCAGCATTCGGATGTATAATAACCAGTTCCCCTGAATCCTCATCAGAAGATTCTTGAATTGATACTGGTCTATCAGGTATCGTTTCAGATGGTACTGTTGTTGGCTTTCTTTTTCTTGGTTTTTGGTACTGGTTTGTTCTCTTCAGGTGTTTCTGTGACGAATCCAACAGGTAGTAGATGGTTTCTGTGCAAATTTCCCTTCTTTCCACTACCATGTTTTTTTTGCACTGTATACACTGGAGTGTCTTTATTCGGTTGATCAAGAACACGGCAAGAATCCTTTTCACAGTTATCGGAGAGCTTATGTAGTCAATCAAATGAATTGATTCGTACCAGTTCTCTGTCTCCCTTCTGTATGGTTGCACCACGAACCTTAGTATCATAACCTCCTTTCTGTTTCAACTGGGATTTCTTAGACATCTCTTCTGCAGCCTTGTGTGATTACTCCAGTCTATCTTTAAGGTTGTTGATATAGTCTTGATTCTTTGCTTTTTTCCTTAAAACAAATGTAATATCCACAGGTAATCTTGGAATTCTCCCAAACATCAAGAAGTATGGTGAATAGCCTGTTGAATCGTGTCTGGTATTGTTTTAACAATATACCAATGGTCCAACATAAGCCTTCAAGTTTCTCTTCTTTTCAACCTCTAGGGTTCCCAGCTTACTCATTAATGTCCGGTTAAACCTCTCGCATTATCCATTCCCTTGTGGGTGGTAACTGGTGGTGTGGGATTTTACCACCACTGTTAAGGTACAGAGCTCCTTAATAAGCTTGGACTCAAACTGTGCTCCTTTGTCTGAGTGGAGTCTTTCAGGAAGTCCATAGTGAACGATGTAAAATTCACAATTATTTTCACAATACTAGTCCAAATAATTATCCTGATTATAAAGTGATAGCTGGCTAAGTCTGCTAACCAACGGTGACCTGTATCATCCAGTTTTGCTGTTATCAGAACATATGTGAGTGGGTTGTTACCTGTCCATACTGTAAACTGCTGTCCAAACAGGTATTCTTTAAACTTATCTGTAATGGCCCACTTCAATGCCAAAAACTCCAGTTTATGGGGCGGGTA